AGAATGAATCTTGTCGTAAACAAGCAGTTTCCTTGGCACTCCAAATGGCTTCAATCTTCAGCTGCATAACCACTCCCAGCAACAGCCAAAGGTTTCTTCTAGGCTTGGGCAGTTTCGTTCGTTAATTTCGTAATTGTTATTAATTCGTATTTAAATTAGCTTACGATCCAATATTGAGCCATGCAGGAATAGTGTGAGGAGTAAATTAGATTCGAAACAATTTTTTTAATTTATTTCGTATTGTTTCGTATTGTTTCGTTATTATTTCGAAATTATTTCGTAATTATTTCGTAATTATTTTCGCATGTCTGGTGCAAGTTTTATAGTTGTTGTTTGTTTTATCACACCAACAGTCAACAACAGAGGGAGAGGGAAGCTTCAGAAGTTCCCCCTGTTCCATTTGGAGGTTTTTTTAGCATATTGCGCAATCGCGTCCGCCATTAACGAATCGATTCGTAATTATACGAAATTTCGTAAATTTCGAAATTTTTAAAAGGAAAATTTCAGAATTCTTTTAAAAAAACGAAACGCGATGGACCCCTAAAAACGAAACGAGTTTAGAAACAAATTTTTCCGTGGTTACCCAGCCCTACAAAATAATACAGTCTCTCTACTTAGTTATCAGTAGAGAGAATGAATCTTGTCGTAAACAAGCAGTTTCCTTGGCACTCCAAATGGCTTCAATCTTCAGCTGCATAACCACTCCCAGCAACAGCCAAAGGGTTCTTCAGCTCAAAATGAGCCATCAAGCTAAGCCAAAAAGCAAAGCTCAAAGCTTGCAAAACCTAGTATCTTGTTATATGCTGAAGCAGATAACACACCCTTGTGGGTGTGTTATCCTCCCTGTTACTTAGAAAAAGCCTGTTGTAAACCCCTAGTAGCAACAATGTATAATAGGAACAAACCCCTTTCACAAGTAATTTCCTGCTCTTAAATATGTAAAGAACCATCCAGAATTTTCATTTTGAGTCTTTTTTCAAAAGCATTTCTAGTTCAAGCCAATGGTTCTTGCGTTGACGGCCATATTGGCACCCAAGAACCCGATTGGTACCGAAGATTTAAATCCTGACCCAATTTATTCTCTCATAGTCAACAAGGCGGATTAAAACTTTTGCGGCTCACGGGAAAAACAAATTGCTCTGGGATTGTTGCTTTGCTCAAACGTGGAAATTGACTGAAGCACCGACGACGGAAGAAGGGATCGTGAAATGGCCAAACTAACATGGATTTGAAAGAAGACACCAGCGGAAGATTGCGTTGTTGTTTTTTGAAGCTCGGAAACCATTTGTGGATTTCTCGGGTCATAAAAAAAATCTAACAATGTAATAATGTATGGTTATTGTTATTTATAATTAGTAGGATTATGTAATTGGATCTTTAATCGTAGAATACTAGATTTTCCATTCTCCTTCTACTCCTTCCTCTTTCCTTCTTTCCTTTCTCCTTCCTCCCATTTCTTCCTCCTTCCTCCTTCGTCCTTCCTACTTCCTACTTCCTCCTTACTTCTTCCTTCCATCTTCCTCCCTCTTTCTTCCTCCTTCTTCCTTCCTCCTCCCTCCTTCCTCTTTCCTTCTCCGTCCTTCCTCCTTCCTTCTCTTCCTTCTCCCTTCTTCCTTCCTCCTCCCTCCTCCCTCTTTTCTTCTCCTTCCTCCCTCCTTCTTTCTCCCTCCTTCCTCCTTACTTCCTCCTCCCTCCTCCCTCTTTCCTTCTCCCTCCTTCCTCTTTCCTTCTCCCTCCTTCCTCCTTCCTTCTCCCTCCTTCCTCTTTCCTTCTCCCTCCTCCCTCCTCCCTCTTTTCTTCTCCTTCCTCCCTCCTTCTTTCTCCCTCCTTCCTCCTTCCTCCTTCCTCCTTCCTCCCTCCTCCCTCCTCCCTCTTTCCTTCTCCCTCCTTCCTCTTTCCTTCTCCCTCCTTCCTCCTTCCTTCTCCCTTCTTCCTTCCTCCTCCCTCCTCCCTCTCCCTCTTTTCTTCTCCTTCCTCCCTCCTTCTTTCTCCTTCCTCCTTCCTCCTTCCTTCCTCTCCCCCTTCCTCTTCCTTCTCCCCTTCCCTCTTTCCTTCTCCCTCCTTCCTCCTTCCTTCTCTCCTTCCTTCCTCCTCCTCCTCCTCCCTCTTTCTTCTTTCTCCTTCCTTCCTCCTTCTTTCTCCCTCCTTCCTCCTTCCTTCTCCCTCCTTCCTTCCTCCTTCCTCCTCCCTCTTTCCTTCTCCCTCCTTCCTCTTTCCTTCTCCCTTCTTCCTTCCTCCTCCCTCCTCCCTCTTTTCTTCTCCTTCCTCCCTCCTTCTTTCTCCCTCCTTCCTCCTTCCTCCTTCCTCCTTCCTCCTTCCTTCCTCCTCCCTCCTCCCTCTTTCCTTCTCCCTCCTTCCTCTTTCCTTCTCCCTCCTTCCTCCTTCCTTCTCCCTTCTTCCTTCCTCCTCCCTCCCTCCTCCCTCTTTTCTTCTCCTTCCTCCCTCCTTCTTTCTCCCTCCTTCCTCCTTCCTCCTTCCTCCTTCCTCCTTCCTTCCTCCTCCCTCCTCCCTCTTTCCTTCTCCTCCTCCTCCTTCCTTCTCCCTTCTTCCTTCCTCCCTTTTTTCTTCTCCTTCCTTCCTTCCTTCCTTCCTCCTTCTTTCTCCCTCCTTCCTCCTTCCTTCCTCCTCCTTCCATCTTCCTTCTTCCTCCTTCTATTCAGATTGTGAATTAAATTTTTAGTGTTAAAAAAATCAATAAATAATGTGAAGCAAAAAAAAACATTGCAAGTTTTTTTCATGGGTGGTCATGGAAAGCTCAGAAGAAAAAAACACAATTCCAAGAGTCATTTTGTGTGTGTTTCTGCGCAATCCATTCCATAATTCTGCTAATGGGTTTCTCAATGTTTTCTGGTTACACAGACTAGGAGAAATAATGCCATCTGGGATCTATTGGCCTTCTCCACGGCCTTTGTTCTCCTTCTCCCTTTGTGATACTACAGAGTTGTAAGAGACATTTGCATGACACAGAGCCCAATATTTATCGTTTGGCGAGGGTAGCATTCGACTCATAATCACAAAACCCATATTTCATTTCCTCTTGATTTTGGGGAAATGGTCCTCCAAGCAATTCTATGGACATTGTCATAGGGTTGCAATGGTGGACATAGCAAGGTCCACTATGGTGGTCATAGTTGGGTTAGGTCATAGTTGGTCACCAGTCGACCTCTATGGTGGACCAGAAGACAACCATGACCTAACTTCTGGTGCACTGTAGAGGTCTACTAGTGACCAACCATGACCTAACTTCTGGTGTACTGTAGAGGTCTACTAGTGACCAACCATGACCTAACTTCTGGTGTACTGTAGAGGTCTACTTGCAACCAACCATGACCTAACTTCTGGTGTACTGTAGAGATCTACTTGTGACCAACCATGACTTAACTTCTGGTGTACTATAGAGATCTACTTTTAACCAACCATGACCTAACTTCTGGTGTACTGTAGAGGTCTACTTGCGACCAACCATGACCTAACTTCTGGTGTACTGTAGAGATCTACTTGTGACCAACCATGACTTAACTTCTGGTGTACTATAGAGATCTACTTTTGACCAACCATGACCTAACTTCTGGTGTACTGTAGAGGTCTACTTGCGACCAACCATGACCTAACTTCTGGTGTACTGTAGAGGTCTACTAGTGACCAACCATGACCTAACTTCTGGTGCACTGTAGAGGTCTACTAGTGACCAACCATGACCTAACTTCTGGTGCACTGTAGAGGTCTACTAGTGACCAACCATGACCTAACTTCTGGTGTACTGTAGAGGTCTACTAGTGACCAACCATGACTTAACTTCTGGTCCATCATAGAGGTCTACTGGTGGAGGACAATTTCTCCAAAATCAAGGGGAAGTGAAATATTGGTTTTGTAGTTATAAGGGCCGAATGCAAAGTACCTCACCAAACTATAAACACATTGGGCTCTATCTCTGTCCTGCATCTTACAACTATGTAGTACCACAAAGGGACAAGGAGAACAAAGGCCGCAGAGACGACCAATAGATCCCAGATAGCATTATTTCTCCTACTATGTGTAACCAAAAAAATTGAGAAACCCATTAGCAGAATTATGAGATGTTTCCTTATGCAAGTATTACTATTCTATATACCTTACTATAGGTCACTAGAAAAAAATATTCCTATTTTTATGATGAATGTATATTGCTCTGTCCCATTGATTCTGCCAACATGCATTCCAACGATTTTACAAGTCCCACCTAGTAGTACAAATAGGAAGTGACTTCAGGTTTGGAGACCAAAAAAATACACATTTCCCCATTTAGAACCAAATAAGGGGATATTATTGACCCCCTAAAGGTTTCTGCAGAATTAAGTGTCATGTGTTACGTTCACTGCTCGTCTATCATCTAACTAAGGCTGACTCAGATTTAGCTTCCAAGTTCAGACAAGATCTAATGCTTTTAGGACATTGAGACTCTACCAAAACAAACATCTCAGGGTTCCTTAGGATGAGACCGGATGAGACCTACAAGAGGATCAATGAAACCTAGATCCACTTGTAGTGCAGATACACCTTTCGACAAATTATATTTTGTGTACATTGTGGGGGAACTCAAGTGTTCACTCTCATCCTCGCTCAAAAAAATCTTCCTTTGGTGTCTTTGTCGAAGCCAAGATCTCCTTAGGCTCTGAAGAACCTCTAAATGTTCTCCCATTCTGCCCAAACAGACAATCTCATTGTTCGTTGTCATCGTTGAGTGCCTTCAAGTTGTTTCCGAGCTATGTTGACCCTACGGTGAACCTCTCATGTAGTTTTCTTGGTGAGATTTCTCCAGTAGGGATTGTCAATCGCATTACCCAAAGTAATCCCAATGGGCTTCCATTGCTGAACAGAAAATTCACACCCTTGTCTCCAGAGTCATAACCCAATGCTCAAATCATGGTGCGTCTCCATGAGGCATGTGCAAATCTCACAGTAAGGAGGCTTATGACAAATTTCCCAATGACTTTTTTGTCCTCTTTTTCTCCCTCCTTCAGATTGTGTGACACGCTGGTTTAGCATGGATAAGCCATCTGGGATTGGCGACATCGAAATCCTTTTGAACGTCATGGATATGTATCCCGAGGAAGCTTGCTTTGATCCAACAGCAATGGAGATCCAGACTCTGGATGGGATCCCGGCCTCTGAAACCGGACAAGTGTTTGTTGTGTGAGTTTTCAATACTCTGGGGAAGATTTTACTATAGTCTGAGGTCAAATTTCCAGATTGTATACTTGCATTAGGGCTGTGTGAAAATCCGGACGTGGATCATAAGTCATAAGAGTTTAGTTAGATCCACACTTAAAAATTCCCTAAAAATCAGTGGATGTGAGAATCTTTCTGAAACTTGGGAGGAAGGATAGCCTACTTATGTTGTGTCATTGTAGGAAAATTCAAGGGAATAGATCATGTAGTTTTTTTAAAAAAAATTGTTGTTCATAAAAACATCAAAAATTCCCTAAAAATCAGTAGATGTGAGAATCTTTCTGAAACTTGGAGGAAAGTATGCCCAGGTTATGTTGTGTCATTGTAGAAAAATTCAAGGGAATAGATCTTTTTTAATGTTGTTCATAAATATTTCAAAAATATCCTAAAAAACAATGGATTAGTGAAACATTCTGAAACTTGGTGGATTTAAAGTGGTAAATGTGTGCTACAATTGTAGCAATTTTCATTCCAATAGCCCTAAAACTGAGGGATGGAGGAGCCTCTTTAGTGTCCCCATTGGCACGAATGGGCAAATGACGTAATGAAAAATTAATGACTTTTTCGGAACTCCTTAATAAATAGGATACGGACCTCTTATGATGTTTTTCAAGGGAATATCTCTTAGTTTTTTTTAATGTTATTCGAAAATATTTCAAAAATATCCCAAAAATCAGTTGATTGGCGAAACATTCTGAAACTTGGGGAATTTAAAGTGGTAAATGTGTACTACAATTGTAGCAATTATCATTCCAATAGCCCTAAAAGTGAGGGATGGAGGAGCCTCTTTAGCAGGGGTTCTAAAATTAAGGCCCAGGGGCCACATACGGCCCTCTAAGGTCATTTATCCGGCCCTCACTCAGGGTCGACCTAAGTCTGAAATGTTTGAAAATATTTCAAAAATATCCTAAAAGTCAGTGGATTAGTGAAATGTTCCAAAACTTGGGGGATTTAAAGTGGTAAATGTGTGCTACAATTGTAGCAAGTTTTATTCCAATAGTCCTTAAACTGAGAGATATAGGAGCCTCTTTAGTATTCCCATTTGCACAAATGAGTGAATGACGAAATGAAAAATTAACGACTTTTTCAGAACTTCTTAATAGATAGGACACAGACCCCTTATGACTTTTTCAAGGGAATATCTCTTTGTTTTTTTTAATGTTGTTCGGAAATATTTCAAAAATATCCCAAAAATCAGTTGATTGGCAAAACGTTCTGAAACTTGGGGGATTTAAAGTGGTAAATGTGTGCTACAATTGTAGCAAGTTTTACGGAACTTTTACGGAACTCATTAATAGAAAGGACAAAGACCTCTTATGACTTTTTCAGGGGAATATCTCTTGGTTTTTTAATGTTGTTCAAAAATATTTCAAAAATATCCCAAAAATCATTTGATTGGCGAAACGTTCTGAACCTTGGGGGATTTAAAGTGGTAAATGTGTGCTATAATTGTAGCAAGTTTTATTCCAATAGTCCTTAAACTGAGAGATATAGGAGCCTCTTTAGTATTCCCATTTGCACAAATGAGTGAATGACGAAACGAAAAATGAACGACTTTTTCAGAACTTCTTAATCGATAGGACGTGGACCTCTTATGACTTTTTAGAAACACTTAAGTATCAAAATCAGAGTCATACAAAATTTCAAAACAAACAAACTAGGTTTTGGAGTCTTGCATACCCCTATTGTATGTCCTCTTATTATGACTCCCATAATAAAGATGCGTCCTACCTCGATTTCACAAATCATTGAGCGAAGTTGCACGCGATGTGTGATATAAATATTCCAAAATAGGAACACAAGAGATTCTGTATGGAGTCAGACCAGTGGTCCAGTTTTGAATCTACTCTCAATTTTAATCTGACCTTGAACGTATCTAGTAGGCTTGGGTAACCATGGAAAAATTTGGTTCTAAACTCGTTTTGTTTTTAGGGGGCCCTTGCGTTTCGTTTTTTTTAAGAATTCCGAAATTTTCCTTTAAAAATTCCAAAATTTACAAAATTTCATAAAATTACGAATCGATTCGTTAATGGCGGACGCGATTGCGCAATATGCTAAAAACCTCCAAATGGGACAGGGGGAACTTCTGAAGCTTCCCTCTCCCTCTGTTGTTGACTGTTGGTGTGATAAAACAAACAACAACTATAAAACTTGCACCAGACATGCGAAACTAATTACGAAATAATTACGAAATAACTACGAAATAAATTGAAAAAATTGTTTCGAATCTAATTTACTCCTCACACTATTCCTGCATGGCTCAATATTGGATCGTAAGCTAATTTAAATACGAATTAATAACGAATTACGAAATTAACGAATGAAACCGCCCAAGCCTAGTATATATCCAACAGGCCTTCTGGATTAAGGGCGTCCTTAGGCGCTCAAAAACGGAGAAACCACTGGACCAAATCTCGCCAAATTTGCCATGCTGATACCTCATCCCCCAAGGTATGACCAACAACCCTAAATTAACGAACGAATTATGAAATTAACAAACTGAACCGCCCAAGCCTAGTAGCATTGCATGAGGAAACTCCATTGCTGCATCCTTCATAATGAATGCTATTGCACTTATTGTCTGAACAGGAACAATGCCAGCTTCGGCGTTGTCTGTATCAACAGCATGCAGAAGAAAGGAGAGCAGTGCTTGGACTACCAGGTGCGATTCACCTGCCCTCCATATTTCTGCTCTGGTAAGACTCCATATCTGTGTTCTTTGATTCTTAGTGGCTAAACCTTTCCTCCATTTCTCTGTTGCTCTCTTCCATTCCAACCAACCTCTCTCCCTGAATGGGTGGACAACAAAAATGGGTGACAAACCTGTGCATTCAAACAGATGTGACACTTAGGGTAGACTAAATTCAAGGATGACCAAGTCAATCATGGCTTCCAAGGAGTTGACCTGCTATGAGACCCGTTTTCATAATATCTTAATCAATGTGTCCTGGACAGCTGTCAATTTCCATTTGTGGAATGAATTCCTCTGAGGCTTTCCTTTGAAGGTTCAAAGGGGTTCGTAACCCAAAATTGAAAAAGAAAGTACATTTTATCATCACTCTAGAAGATCAACCAAACTTGTCTAGGGTGGATCTTCATCATCAGCATAATAACATGAGCCATGTTGAATCAAATCAAACCATGGGATCTCTTCAAACTCTGTGGTTCTATGGTTCTATGATTCTATGACACTGTGATTCTTTGATTCCATGATCCTGTGATCCTGAGATTCGTTGATTCGGTGTTTCTGAGATTCCGTGATTCTTTGATCCTGTGTTTCTTTGATTCTATGTTTCTGTGATTCTATGATACTATGATACTGTGATTCTGAAATTCCATATCCCTTTGACTCTATGTTTCTATGATACTGTGATTCCTTGATTCCATGACTCCTTAATTCTGTCTTTCTGCGATTCTATGATATTGTGATTCCATGATTCCATATCCCTTTGACTCTATGTTTCTATGATACTGTGATTCCTTGATTCCATGACTCTTTATTTCCGTGTTTCTGTGATTCTATGATACTATGATTCTGTGATTCCATGATTCCATATCCCTTTGACTCTATATTTCTATGACACTGTGATTCCTTGATTCCATGACTCTTTATTTCCGTGTTTCTGTGATTCTATGATACTATGATTCTGTGATTCTTTGATTCCATGTTTCTGTGATTCTATGATACTGTGATTCCTTGATTCCATGACTCTTTAATTCTGTGTTTCTGTGATTCTATGATACTATGATTCTGTGATTCCATGATTCCATATCCCTTTGACTCTATATTTCTATGATACTGCGATTCCTTGATTCCATGACTCTTTAATTCTGTCTTTCTGTGATTCCATGATACTATGATTCTGTGATTCTTTGATTCCATGTTTCTGTGATTCTATGATACTGTGATTCCTTGATTCCATGACTCTTTAATTCTGTGTTTCTGTGATTCTATGATACTATGAATACTGTGATCCCATGATTTCATATCCCTTTGACTCTATGTTTCTATGATACCGTGATTCCTTGATTCCATGACTCTTTAATTCTGTCTTTCTGTGATTCTATGATACTATGATTCTGTGATTCTTTGATTCCATGTTTCTGTGATTCTATGATACTATGATTCTTTGATTCCATATCTTTTTGACTCTATATTTCTATGATACTGTGATTCCTTGATTCCATGACTCTTTAATTCTGTCTTTCTGTGATTCTATGATACTATGATTCTGTGATTCTTTGATTCCATGTTTCTGTGATTCTATGATACTATGATTCTGTGATTCCATGATTCCATATCTCTTTGACTCTATATTTCTATGATATTGTGATTCCTTGATTCCATGACTCTTTAATTCTGTCTTTCTGTGATTCCATGATACTATGATTCTGTGATTCTTTGATTCCATATTCCTGTGATTCTATGATACTGTGATTCCTTGATTCCATGACTCTTTAATTCTGTGTTTCTGTGATTCTATCATACTATGAATACTGTGATTCCATGATTTGATATCCCTTTGACTCTATATTTCTATGATACCGTGATTCCTTGATTCCATGACTCTTTAATTCCATCTTTCTGTGTTTCTATGATACTATGATACTATGATTCTGTGATTCCATATCCCTTTGACTCTATGTTTCTATGATACTGTGATTCCTTGATTCCTTGATTCTTTATTTCCCTGTTTCTGTGATTCTATGATACTATGATTCTGTGATTCTTTGATTCCATGTTTCTGTGATTCTATGAGACTGTGATTCCATGACTCTTTAACTCCGTCTTTCTGTAATTCTATGATACTATGATAGTGTGATTCCGTGATTCCATATCCCTTTGACTCTATGTTTCTATGATACTGTGATTCCTTGATTCTACGACTCTTTATTTCCATGTTTCTGTGATGCTATGATACTATGATACTGTGATTCTTTGATTCCATGTTTCTGTGATTCTATGATACTATGATACTGATTCCATATCCCTTTATGTTTCTATGATATTGTGATTCCTTGATTCCATGACTCTTTATTTCCATGTTTCTGTGATTCTATGATACTATGATACTGTGATTCTTTGATTCCATGTTTCTGTGATTCTATGATACTATGATACTGATTCCATATCCCTTTATGTTTCTATGATATTGTGATTCCTTGATTCCATGACTCTTTATTTCCATGTTTCTGTGATTCTATGATACTATGATACTGTGATTCTTTGATTCCATGTTTCTGCGATTCTATGATACTATGATTCTGTGATTCCATGATTCCATATCCCTTTGACTCTATGTTTCTATGATACTGTGATTCCTTGATTCTACGACTCTTTATTTCCATGTTTCTGTGATGCTATGATACTATGATACTGTGATTCTTTGATTCCATGTTTCTGTGATTCTATGATACTATGATACTGATTCCATATCCCTTTATGTTTCTATGATATTGTGATTCCTTGATTCCATGACTCTTTATTTCCATGTTTCTGTGATTCTATGATACTATGATCTGTGATTCTTTGATTCCATGTTTCTGTGATTCTATGAGACTGTGATTCCATGACTCTTTAACTCCGTCTTTCTGTAATTCTATGATACTATGATAGTGTGATTCCGTGATTCCATATCCCTTTGACTCTATGTTTCTATGATACTGTGATTCCTTGATTCTACGACTCTTTATTTCCATGTTTCTGTGATGCTATGATACTATGATACTGTGATTCTTTGATTCCATGTTTCTGTGATTCTATGATACTATGATACTGATTCCATATCCCTTTATGTTTCTATGATATTGTGATTCCTTGATTCCATGACTCTTTATTTCCATGTTTCTGTGATTCTATGATACTATGATACTGTGATTCTTTGATTCCATGTTTCTGTGATTCTATGAGACTGTGATTCTATAATTCTATGATTCATATGAATCCATGTTTCTTTGAATCTGTGATTCCTGGATTATATGACTCCATGATTCTGATTCTGTGGTTCCATGAATCTTTGACTCTATGAATTTTAAAATTCCATGATTCTATAATTCTATGAATTTAGTTGTGCTTTCTTTGATTCCATGTTTCTGTGATTCTATGATACTATGATACTGATTCCATATCCCTTTATGTTTCTATGATATTGTGATTCCTTGATTCCATGACTCTTTATTTCCATGTTTCTGTGATTCTATGATACTATGATACTGTGATTCTTTGATTCCATGTTTCTGTGATTCTATGAGACTGTGATTCTATAATTCTATGATTCATATGAATCCATGTTTCTTTGAATCTGTGATTCCTGGATTATATGACTCCATGATTCTGATTCCGTGTGGTTCCATGAATCTTTGACTCTATGAATTTTAAAATTCCATGATTCTATAATTCTATGAATTTAGTTGTGCTTTCTTTACCCAAAGAGGTCTTTTCTTAAGGTGGCTTACTTTCACCTATCGGAAACTCTTCAAAAAGGCTACAATTGCATCCTCGTCTTAATAACATTACTTTTTCTCCATACAGGTGAAGTCCATACCACACCTGAACCAGAATGTGGAGGACCTCCTGCTTTTACTCCCACCCCAGAACTAGTCCAAACTACCCCAGAGATCCCAGTGAAAGGTACGTATTAGGCTTGGGCGATCCAGTTCGTTAATTTCGTTATTCGTTATTAATTCGTATTTAAATTAGCTTACGATCCAATATCGAGCCATGCAGGAATAGTGTGAGGAGTAATTAAGAATCGAAACAATTTTTCCAATTTTCGTAATTATAGCCATCTTTGCTCTGCTGCTTCCCTCCTCTTTCCTCATGCTTCTTCTTGCCTCACTCTGGGCTGCACTGGGCTACCTTCCTTCCTTCCTTCCTTCCTTCCTTCCTTCCTTCCTTCCTTCCTTCCTTCTTTCCTTCCTTCCTTCCTTCTCCTTCCTTCCTTCCTTCCTTCCTTCCTTCCTTCCTTCCTTTCTTCTTTCCTTCCTTCCTTCCTTCTTTCCTTCCTTCCTTCCCTTCTTCCTTCCTTCCTTTCTTTCCTTCCTTCTTTCCTTCTTCCTTCCTTCCTTCTTTCCTTCCTTCCTTCCTTCTTTCCTTCCTTCCTTCTTCCTTCTTCTTCTTTCCTTCCTTCCTTCTCTTCTCCTTCCTTCTTTCCTTCCTTCTCCTTCTTTCCTTTTCCTTCTTTCCTTCCTTTTCCTTCCTTCCTTCTTTCCTTCTTTCCTTCCTTCCTTCCTTCTTTCCTTCCTTCCTTCCTCTTTCCTTCCTTCCTTCCTTCTTTCCTTCTCTTCCTTCCTTCTTCCTTCCTTCCTTCCTTTCTTTCCTTCCTTCCTTCTTTCCTTCCCTTCCTTCCTTCCTTCCTTCCTTTCCTTCCTTCTTTCCTTCCTCCCTTCTTCCTTCCAGCTGGCAAATCCCACATTCCCCCCTCCCTCCTCTTTCTCCTGGCATCCTTCTTGCCCAAAATTTCTCATTACTTTATTTTTCATACCCTCACTCTATGCCACAGGAATGCGTTGCCAGGTACAGCTAGTATAAAATATAATATAATATAATATATTATAATATAAAATACAATTATAACATAATATATAATATAATAATATAATAATATAATATATATTATATATTATATTAATAATAAAATTTAAATAAATAAAATATAAATAATAATAAATAATAACAATAAATAATATAAAATTATATAATATATACAATAGGCCTGTTTGATCAAGAAAAAATTTGTTTCTAAAATCGATTTGTAATTGGGGTGTTTTTTTGTTTCGATATTTTAAATATTTACAAAACTTTCCAAAAAAATGTTTTGTTATTTACGAAATTTCGTAAATATTTACAAAACATTTTTTATGTATTAAATAATATTAAAAATAATATATAAAAATATTCAAAAATGGAAAATTAACCAAAAACTGGCCCTGATGTGGACCAAACACAGGCAGGAGACAGCAAATGAGAGCACACACCAACAGAAGAGTCTTTTCTTTTTTAAAATATATTAAAAATAATAATTAAAATAATATTAAAAAATAATATTAAAATAATATTAAAAATAATATTAAAAATATTTAAAAATGGAAAATTAAGAAACAAATTCACAAAAACCGAAGTAATGAATCCAAGCAAGGAATATAAGCAGCACTAAGCACAGCAGCAAGGAATGAATCCAAGGAATGAGCAAGGAATGAATCCAATCCAGTTGCTAGCCAAGCCAAGCCAACCCAATGCAAACCCTCCCGGAGCTCTTCTCTCTCCCTCGCCCTCTGCAGCAATGAGCTCAGCTGTACGGCCGCGTGGAGCCGCTTTTAAAGGGCTCGCCGGCCAATCAAAAACAGCCACGGTGCACTGCTTGGGTGCTTGGGAGCGCCGGATTGGCTCCCAGGCACCAGCAGCCTCCATCCCATTAACGAAACGAGCGGAAGCTCGTTAAATCTATGGGGGTTGCCGGTTCGATATTTTTAAACCCTTCCGGGTTTGAAAATGTGTTTTGATATCGCCTCGTAAATGCCAAAAATAACGAATGTTTAACGAATAACGGAATTAACGAACGAAACCGCACAGGCCTATAATATACAATGATATAATATAATATACAATAATATACAACAATATAATATAATAATATTATAATAATATTATAATAATATAATATAATAATTTATTATATTATATTATATATATTATTATAATAATATATAATAATATAATAATAATATATATAATAATATAATATACTATAGTTTGGTTTTGGTTAGTTGTTGTTAGTTTTATCACCAACAGTCAACAACAGGGAGAAGGGAAGCTTCAGAAGTTCTCCCTCTCCCGTTTGGAGGTTTTTTCATGTATTACGCAATCGTGTCCGCCATTAACGAATCGATTCGTAATTTTACGAAATTTCGTAAATTTCAAAATTTTTAAAAGCAAAATTTTGGAATTCTTTAAAAAAACGAAACGCGATGGACCCCTAAAAACGAAGCGAGTTGAGAACCAAATTTTTCCGTGGTTACCCAAGCCTAGTATGTATGTTTTCCACACATCTCTGTTTAGCGGCATATATATATATATATATATATATATATATTAGACTTGGATGGTTTCGTTCGTTAATTTTGTAATTCGTTATTAATTCGTATTTAAATTAGCTTACGATCCGATATTGAGCCATTTTGGAATAGTGTGAAGAGTAAATTCGATTCGAAATAATTTTTCAATTTATTTCAAAATTATTTCGAAATTATTTCGTAATTATTTCGTAATTATTTTCGCATGTCTGGTGCAAGTTTTATAGTTGTTGTTTGTTTTATCACACCAACAGTCAACAACAGAGGGAGAGGGAAGCTTCAGAAGTTCCCCCTGTCCCATTTGGATGTTTTTTTTAGCATATTGCGCAATCGCGTCCGCCATTAACGAATCGATTCGTAATTATACGAAATTTCGTAATTTCGAAATTTTTAAAAGGAAAAATTCGGAATTATTAAAAAAAACGAAACGCAAGGGTCCCCTAAAAACAAAACGAGTTTACAACCAATTTTTCCCGTGGTTACCCAAGCCTACTATTTACTGTCCTTAATAATAGAACATTTTAGAGTTTTGGCAAGTTTGTACTCAGCCATTGAAACCTTGAATAAGTCATACATGACTAACCCCAAAATCAGGAATGACTTGAAGGAACTCAACAACAGCAGTGTTCTTGAGCAGCTTGCAGCATTGAATGAGATTTCGTCCAATCCACCCAACACTGATTCTTTTTCCACAGGTAATGAAGAACCAACCACTCCAGGACCAGCTGTAGTTACACGTCCTGCTCCAACCTGCAACCCAGAACCAGCTCAGACCACAGCACAAACTACTCCGCAAGGTGTGCAACCATACCCAGAGTCACCAGACTAAATGGCCCCTCCTTGCAAATCGTTATATAGAATATTGACTTAATAAGAACTTCAACAGCCATACAACTATGGCACGTAGAGTAGGCTGAAGGTTAGGGGGCACAGGATCACCCTCTGAATGAAGAAAACCCATAAATAAAAAAGAGAGAACTACTCTCTTGAAATCTCTAAGGCTTCCAACGTAAGTCTAAGGTCAACTTCTACCATAAAATTCCACTGGAGGACATATTGAGAAGTGTTCTCGAGGTATATGCTAGACCTATCCAACATACTAGACCTATCCCATATACTAGACCTATCCCATATACAAGACCTATCTCATATACTAGATATAACTCGTATCTTAGATGTATCTCATATACTAGCCCTATCTCGTATATTAGATGTATCTCATATATTGGACCTATCCCATATACTAGACCTATCCCATATACAAGACCTATCTCATATACTAGACCAATCTCATATACTAGACGTATCTCATATATTGGACCTATCCCATATGCTAGACCTATCCCACATACTAGACCGCTCCCATATGCTAGACCTATCCCACATACTGGACATATCCCATAAATCTATCTCATCTATCTCATCTATTAGACCTATCCCATATAGTAGGCCTATCCCATATACAAGACCTATCTCATATACTAGACATATCTCATATACTAGACCTATCCCATATATAAGACCTATCTCATATAGTAGACCTATCCCATACACTAGACCTATCCCATATACAAGACCTATCTCATATACTAGCTCTATCTCATATACTAGGCGTATCTCATATACTGGACCTATCCCATATTCTAGACCTGTCCCATATGCTAGACCTATCCCACATACTAGACCGCTCCCATATGCTAGACCTATCCCACATACTGGACGTATCCCATAAATCTATCTCATCTATCTCATCCATTAGACCTATCCCATATACTAGACTTATCCCACACACACACACATATGCTAGATCTATCTCACATACTAGACTGCTCCCATATACTAGACCTATCTCACATACTGGACCTATCCCATATACTAGACCTATCCCATATACTAGACCTATCTCATATACTAGACCTGACCCACATACTAGACTGCTCCCACATACAAGACCACTCCCATATACGACATCTATCCCACACACTAGACCCATCTCATATACTAGACCTATCCCACATACTTGACCTAACCCACATACTAGACTGCTCCCCTATACTAGACCTATCTCATATACTAGACTTATCCCATACACACACACACATGCTAGACCTATCTCACATACTGGACCTATCCCATATACTAGACTTATCCCACACACACACACACATGCTAGATCTATCTCACATACTAGACCGCTCCCATATACTAGACCTATCTCACATACTGGACCTATCCCATATACTAGACCTATCTCATATATTAGACCTGACCCACATACTAGACTGCTCCCACATACAAGACCACTCCCATATACGACATCTATCCCACACACTAGACCCATCTCATATACTAGACCTATCCCACATACTTGACCTAACCCACATACTAGACTGCTCCCATATACTAGACCTATCTTATATACTAGATCTATCCCATATATAGACCTATCTCATATACTAGACCTATCCCACATACAAGACCACTCCAATATACCAGACCTATCCTGCATACTAGACCCCTCACATATTAGACCTATCTCATATACGAGACTATCTCAAATGCTAGACCTATTCCATATACTAGACCTATCCCATATACTATACTTATCCCATACACCACCTATCTCATATACTAGACCTATGCCATTTACTATTATTTTCCTATATACTTAGACCTTTCCCACATCCTAGACCTTTCCCATGCCCTATACTTATCCCACATATTGTTTCTATACAGCAGTGAGATAAATAGTATAGAGTAGAGCTATCACTAGATCCCCCAGATGACTCTCCAAGAGATTTCTCTAGGAATCTCTAGGTCCTCAACTGATAGACCTAGGGATTCCCCCAAGAAGTCACCCTAAGAGACCTAGAGATTCCTTGGGAGAACATCACAAGGCAATCTGCGAATAATATTTGCAAAAATTCAACCTGCAAATGCATTGGTGTTGATGGAGATGTCCCTAAGAGACAAGCGACCTACTCCACAGAGACCCTCAACCTTGGGTACATCATAGATCTTAGAAAACTATTTCTAGATTTAAGTCGTTGACGTGCTGGCTGATACCCAAACAGGGGATGAGCTGGAGATGTCTCTGCCTTGGTCTTTCACTATTGGCTGCTACTTCCCGGCGGATGTCAGGTGGTGCAATACCGGCTAAGCAGTGTAATTTCTCCAGTGGTGTAGGGCGCAGACACCCCGTGATAATGCGGCATGTCTCATTAAGAGCCACATCCACTGTTTTAGTGTGGTGAGATGTGTTCCACACTGGGCATGCATACTCAGCAGCAGAGTAGCATAGCGCAAGGGCAGATGTCTTCACTGTGTCTGGTTTTGATCCCCAGGTTGTGCCAGTCAGCTTTCGTATGATATTGTTTCAGTACCCACTTTTTGCTTTATGTTCAGGCAGTGCTTCTTGTAGATAAGAGCACGGTCCAGAGTGACTCACAGGTATTTGGGTGCGCTGCAATGCTCCAGTGGGATTCCTTCCCAGGTAATCCTCAGAGCTCGGGATGCTTGCCTGTTCTTGAGATGAAAGGCACATGTCTGTGTTTCGGATGGGTTGGGGATCAACTGGTTTTCCCTGTAATAGGCAGTAAGAGCACCTAGAGCTTCGGAGAGCTTCTGTTCTACCGTCTCAAAGCTCCCTGCTTGAGTGGTGATGGCATGATCATCAGCATAGATGAAGCTCTCTGTCCCTTCTGGCAGTGGCTGGTCATTTGTGTAGATGTTGAACATGGATGGAGCAAGCACGCTCCCCTGAGGCAGGCCGTTCTTCTGTTTCCGCCATCTGCTTCTCTGGCCCTGGAACTCAACAAAAAAGCTCCTGTTTTGTAGCAGGTTTCCTATGAGGCGGGTGAGGTGGTAGTCCTTTGTGATATTATACATTTTTCTCAGGAGGAGGCGGTGGTTCACAGTATCATAGGCTGCTGACAGGTCTATGAAGACAGCTCCTGTGATCTGCTGCCTTTCAAAGCCATCTTCTATGTGCTGAGTCAGGTTCAGCACTTGCGATGTGCAGCTTTTGCCTTTTCTGAAGCCAGCTTGCTGTGGGATCAGACATGGGTCTATTTTTTCCGTAATTCTATGCAAAATAAGTCTCTCCAGAACTTTGTAGAGGTGGCACAACAGGGAGATTGGTCTGTAGCTTTTTGGGTCATTGCGGTCTTTGCCTGGCTTCAAGATGGCGATGACTCTTGCTTTCCTCCAGATTTTGGGGATCTGACAGGATGCAGTGCCGTTCATCAGCTCCAGCAGCCAGCACCTTGCTTTTGGACCAAAGTTCTTGATTCGGAACAAATCAAGAATCCTGATGCAACTTATCTGTTCCTTTAGAGGAATAGGAAAGTCGAGAAAAGCTTCCTCTCCTAAAACATTTCATCGTTCTCTCCCTCTCTGTTTCAAATAAGTTCCTGTCATTTGCAAGACTCGTTGGTTCAACCAGGACAATCCTGAGGGCAACGGGGACCATGAACTCTTAACTGAGCTCCGACAGGTGTACTCCCGAGATATTTGCCCCGAACCAACTGATATCGAGGCACAGACCGTAAACGGCATCCCGGCTTCTGAGACGGGTCAAAAGTTCGCTGTGTGAGTATTTGTGAAACATAACACTTGGGCTTCTGGGTTGGGACACTTCTCTAAGCTTGGGTGAGAGGCGTTATAGTCTCAGAGGTCTCTAATGCATTGGGTCCATTCTCCGAACAGAAATGATCCCATTTACGGCTTTTCCTGCATGAACAACGAGCAGGGGAAAACGCAACGTTGCTTTGACTATCAGGTGCGATTCATCTGCCCACCGTCGTTCTGCTCTGGTAAGTGTCCATTCCTGTGTAACATGCACAGATATCTATAACAATACAAAAACTGAAGATTGCAAATCGCAATTTCTATATTGCAGGAAATTCTTCATTAAACGTAACGTGGGAACATTAACACGATCAATTAGTAACTGTTTATAAATGAAATATTTTGTCAACACAATGAAACTTAAGCTTTCAAAATAACAATTACTATATACCAGGACGTCAGAAATAGTAACACAAATAGATTTCAGCTTCCAAAATAACAATTTCTATGTTGTAGATGGTTTTTCATCAATATACAAGGGGTATTATTTAAGTAAGGTCCGTTTTGTTGTAGACACTAGTAGTTCGCGCGCATACCGCAACGAGTGCGTACATCGGGTACCGTTTAAGACTATCAACTCACCCGCCGCATGCAGGGGTGGCTCGTCCATTACGAGAAGTAAGCGGTCGCAGAACATTTTTTTTTGCCAGGGGCGCATAGGCGCCTCTGTAAATGCTCCTTGACCGCCACTTGAGGAGCGCCCTCTCAGCTCACAACAGCCCTAGCAGTCCGGGGGGAGCCTCGGCTTTCTTGCCTCACTGCCGGGCGATCCTCTTCCCAAAGCCTTGCCTAGCCCCTCTCGTTCCTGCTCCACCCGGCCACCGGGTGCGTGAGCAGAGCCGGCGCTCAATCGTTCTCCGCGTTCGATCCCTTCCCCATGACAGGCTCCCTTTCCCGATCCCCCGGCACTCCACCCGCCTCCTCTCCTCTCCCGAATCCGCGGGTGGGCCAAAGGGCGGAGCCGCCATGTCTGGCCTGCTTTGGGTCCGGAGGCGTGTCTGAAGACCCCAACGTGCGCACCAAAAGTCGCCTCTTCTCCTGACTTTCTCTTCAGCCATTGGGACCAAGAGAGAGAGAGAGAGAGAGAGCCCTCTGGCTGGAGGTATCTCCCACCTCCGCTCCCTCCTTTGTTTTTGCGCCTACCTTCAGGAAAGGTGGGCATCTCCACCTCTGCTCTCTCTCTCTTGGTCCCAATGGCTGAGGAGAAAGTCAGGAGAAGAGGTGACTTTTGGTGCACACGTCGGGGTCTTCAGGCACGCCTCCGGACCCAAAGCGGGCCAGGCAAGGGAGCAAGTGCAGCAAGTGTAGTTACTGGGATGTATAGTTCACCTACAATCAAAGAGCATTCTGAACTCCACCAATGATGGAATTGAACCAAATATGGCACACAGAACTCCCACGACAAACAGAAAATATATATCAATGATTGGTTGGGGGGGGGGCACCAAAATACTGTTTACTTACCATTGAAAATTACCTAGGGCTGCCTCTGTCTGGGGCCAGGCAAGGGAACAAGTGCGGCAAGTGTAGTTACTGGGATGTATAGTTCACCTACAATCAAAGAGCATTCTGAACTCCACCAATGATGGAATTGAACCAAATATGGCACACAGAACTCCCACGACGAACAGAAAATATATATCAATGATTGGTTGGGGGGGGGGGGCCAAAATACTGTTTGCTTACCGTTGAAAATTACCTAGGGCCGCCTCTGGTGGTTCGCTCAGTGATACGGTTTTTTGTCAGCAAGGAACCTGCCTGCTGCAGAAATTCATCGACAGATTTGTGAAGTGTACGGTGATACTGTTATGAGTGAAAGCAAAGTGCCTAAGTGGGTACGACAATTCAAAGATGGCCGTGACAACGTCCATGATGAGGACCGCTCCGGTCACCCTTCTTTGATTACAGACTATTTGATTTGATCGCACACTCAAATCTTTGGTTTTTGTGGTCCTCTGTTAGGAGTTTCGGGACCCAACAGGAGCACAGTTTCCTAAACTTTCGGTGTTCGGAAACAATGTTGTAAAGCACTGATCTTGACACATCAGGAAATTCGTTTGAGAGACCTGTTATTGTGAAGTGCCTGTTCTCACGAATCCTCGCTTCAACTGAAGCCACCAAATCGTCTGTAATCAAAGAAGGGCGACCGGAGCGGTCCTCATCATGGACGTTGTCACGGCCATCTTTGAATTGTTGTACCCACTTACGCACTTTGCTTTCACTCATAACAATATCACCGTACACTTCACAAATCTGTCGATGAATTTCTGCAGCAGGCAGGTTCCTTGCTGACAAAAACCGTATCACTGAGCAAACCTCACATGCGGAGGGTGAGTTGATAGTCTTAAACATTTTTAAAGCACAGAACAGAACCGTACAGGTTGGCTACAGAGCGGAAACTGAACACTAGGCTTGGGTAACCACGGAAAAATTTGGTTCTAAACTCGTTTTGTTTTTAGGGGGCCCTTGCGTTTCGTTTTTTTTATAATTCCAAAATTTTCCTTTAAAAAATTTCGAAATTCACGAAATTTCGTAAAATTACGAATCAATTCGTAAGTATGCTGACACAATTTTTTATCTGCACTTTAAGACCCTTAGCGAAACTCCTTTGTCAGTGTTTAACAACTACCATCCATGTCACTACCCATTCCCTGGCATTTGTTAATCTTGCTGCTAATTGTTTATGGTAGAGAGAGGGAATGGAGTAGTTCAGAAAGACCTGAGTATAACATAATAGGAGCGGGAAATGAATGGAAGGCAAGACTATGGCAATCTGAAGCTGTAATATATCAAACAGTCAACAATGAATTATGGGTTGATACTATGGCTGCTGAATGCGTCATGGAGGAGGGAGAGGCTTCCGTTAACCGGGGAGCCCCCATAGAAGTCGTGGTGGGGAGGGGGAGATACGGGAAAAGGAGACCTCTAATTCGGCCTAGGGAACGTGGAACAACATTAGTAATTCCAAGTCGGTCTCCTGATATGACAAGTTGGTGTAACCAGGATGGCGGTCCCTCCGAATTGAAAGTGGTGCTGTTGAACGCCAGATCTGTCAATGGCAAAACAACCTTCATCCAGGACTTAATCCTGGATGAACGGGCAGATCTGGCGTGCATCACGGAGACCTGGTTGGACGAAGCGGGAGGTGTAAATTTAACCCAGCTTTGCCCACCAGGTTTCTCTGTGCAGCACCAACCGAGATCCGGAGGGCGGGGAGGCGGAGTTGCAGTGGTCTATAGAGATTCCATTCTTCTGACCAGGGCCCCCATCCCGCAGTCAACAAATTTTGAATGCGTCCACCTGAGGGTGGGTGACCGGGACAGATTAGGGATTCTGTTAGTGTACCGCCCACCTCGCTGCACTACAGTCTCCCTGCCTGAGCTAGCGGGGGTGGTCTCGGACCTGGCATTGGAGTCCCAACGGCTGCTTGTGCTGGGGGACTTCAATGTCCATGCTGAGACTACCTTATCGGGAGCGGCTCAGGACTTCATGTCTACCATGGCAACCTTGGGGCTGTCCCAACAGGTACGTGTGGCGTTCGGATCCGAGCGAGCCAAATCGAACACGGTTTGTGTCCTTTCTAAGGGCATATGCCGCGGCAATAAAAGCCGCAAAGAAGACTTTCTTTGCGGCCACTATTGCGTCTGCAAAGAACCGTCCGGCTGAACTGTTCCGAGTTGTCAGAGGCTTGTTAAAACCCACCACTCAGGATGGGTGCCCTGATGACTCGGCAGCTCGCTGTGAAGCTTTTGCTCAGTTCTTTGCAGACAAAGTCGCTTTGATCCGCTCTGGACTGGATACCATATTAACGGCAGTCTCTGAGGATGTAACACGAGCATCTGCTTGTCCGGTTTTGATGGATTCATTTCAATTGGTTCAATCCGAGGGTGTGGACAAGGTGCTTGGAGGAATGAGAGCTACCACATGCATCCTAGACCCCTGCCCATCCTGGCTTCTAAAGGAGGCCAGAGGGGGATTGGCCGAGTGGGTGAAGGTGGTGGTTAATGCCTCCCTTCGGGAGGGCAAAATTCCAGCCAGCTTAAAACAAGCTGTGATAAAACCGCTGTTGAAGAAACCATCACTGGACCCCACTCAATTCGTCAACTATCGGCCTGTTTCCAATCTCCCCTTTTTGGGCAAAGTCATGGAACGTGTGGTGGCCTCACAACTCCAGGCATTCTTGGTAGACACGGATTATCTGGATCCGGCACAGTCTGGCTTTAGGCCGGGGCATGGTACCGAGACAGCCTTGGTCGCCTTAGTGGATGATCTGCGCCGGGAGCTCGACAGGGGGAGTGTGTCCCTGTTGGTGCTGCTCGACCTCTCAGCGGCCTTCGATACCGTCGACCACGGTATCCTTCTGGGACGCCTCGCGGGGATGGGTCTTGGAGGTACTGTTCTGCAGTGGCTCCGCTCATTCCTCGAGGGTCGGTCTCAGAAGGTGTTACTGGGAGACTCCTGTTCTACTCCCACAACCTTTGTCTTGTGGGGTTCCTCAGGGTTCAATACTGTCTCCCATGTTGTTTAACATCTACATGAAGCCGCTGGGCGAGATCATCCGGAGTTTCGGAGTGCGATGTCATCTGTACGCAGATGATGTCCAACTCTGTCACTCCTTTCCACCTGCTACTAAGGAGGCTGTCGAGGTCCTGAACCGGTGCTTGGCCGCTGTGACGGTCTGGATGAGGGCGAACAAATTGAAATTGAATCCAGACAAGACAGAGGTACTCCTGGTCAGTCGCAAGGCCGAACAGGGTATAGGGTTACAGCCTGTGTTGGATGGGGTCGCACTCCCCTTGAAGACGCAGGTTCGCAGTTTGGGTGTGATCCTGGACTCATCGCTGAGCCTGGAACCCCAGGTTTCGGCGGTGACCAGGGGAGCATTCGCACAGTTAAAACTTGTGCGCCAACTGCGACCGTACCTTGGGAAGTCTGACTTGGCCACGGTAGTCCACGCTCTGGCTACATCCCGTCTTGACTACTGCAACGCTCTCTATGTGGGGTTGCCTTTGAAGACAGCCCGGAAGCTCCAATTAGTCCAACGGGCGGCAGCCATGTTACTAACAGGAGCAGGGCGCAGGGAGCATACAACTCCTCTGCTGTACCAGCTCCATTGGCTGCCGATTTGCTACCGGGCCCAATTCAAAGTGCTGGCGCTGGCCTTTAAAGCCCTAAACGGTTCTGGCCCAACTTATCTATCCGAACGTATCTCGGCCTATCAGCCCACCAGGACCCTAAGATCTTCTGGGGAGGCTCTGCTCTCCATCCCGCCTGCTTCACAGGTACGGCTTGCGGGAACGAGAGACAGGGCCTTTACTGTGGTGGCCCCTCGGCTTTGGAACGCCCTCCCCATAGAGGTAAGATCAGCCCCCTCGCTGGTGGCGTTTCGAAAAAGACTGAAGACATGGATGTTCGAACAAGCATTCGGTTAACACGGTGCAACGAATCTGACGATCAAGGACTGGTAATCACAGACGATGAAATTGGACTGCGTTTTTAACTAAGAGATGCATTGGTTCAATATTGGTGGCCCAATATTGTATATTATGTATGTGTTTTTATGCTTTTTTTATGCTTTTTATCTTGAATATTGTTGATTATTGTAATGTTGTAAACCGCGTTGAGTCGCCAATGTAGGCTGAGAAACGGCGGTATACAAGCGCAGTAATAAATAAATAAATAAATAAATAATAAACTAATTAATTAATTAATTAATGGCGGACGCGATTGCGCAATATGCTAAAAAAAACCTCCAAATGGGACAGGAGGAACTTCTGAAGCTTCCCTCTCCCTCTGTTGTTGACTGTTGGTGTGATAAAACAAACAACAACTATAAAACTTGCACCAGACATGCGAAAATAATTACGAAATAATTACGAAATAATTACGAAAAAATTACGAAATAAATTGAAAAAATTGTTTCGAATCTTTATTACTCCTCACACAATTCCTGCATGGCTCAATATTGGATCGTAAGCTAATTTAAATACGAATTAATAACGAATTACGAAATTAACGAACGAAACCGCCCAAGCCTACTGAACACAGTTGTTCCCGAGGCATGCTGGTACACGACGCATGCACTCGTTGCGGTATGTGCGTGAACAACAAAACGGACCTTACTTAAAAAATACCCCTCGTATAATGTCAGGAACAGTAACACAACAAGGTCTCCCGGGTTGTTTCCCTTGTTTCGTAATATCTTCTTCAAGTGTTATTCTTATCTATGATGCTTGAATTCACTAAATAAGAAATAAAGCAACATACAGACAATAGATATACTAAAATCCCCAAATTGACATAGTTTTGAAAAGGTTATTGATGCACATGCTTGACTACTTACATTCTAATTAGTAGCTATTGGCTCTGTTGTAAGTTCCTATCTGCATTTATAACCTTTGGATTGATTACTAAAAAGTAGGCTTGGGTAACAACGGAAAAATTTGTTTCTAAACTCGTTTCGTTTTTAGGGGGTCCATTGCGTTTCATTTTTTTAAAGAATTCCGAATTTTTTCTTTAAAAAAATTCGAAATTTACGAAATTTCGTAAATTTCGAATTGATTCGTTAATGGCGGACGCGATTGCGCAATATGCTAAAAAAACCTCCAAATGGGACAGGGGGAACTTCTGAAGCTTCCCTCTCCCTCTGTTGTTGACTGTTGGTGTGATAAAACAAACAACAACTATATTATATTATATATTATTATATTACATTATTGTATATTATATTAAATTATTATATATTATATTATATTATATATTATTATATAATATTATTATAATATTATTATATTATAGTATATTATAATATATTATATTATTATAATTATATATATATTTATATTATATTATATACTATTATATTATATATTATATTACTATATATATTATTATATTATAATTATAATATATATAATATATTATATTATATTATATATTATTATATTACGAAAATAATTACGAAATAATTACGAAAATTGGAAAAATTGTTTCGATTCTTAATTACTCCTCACACTATTCCAAAATGGCTCAATATCGGATCATAAGCTAATTTAAATACGAATTAATAACGAATTACGAAATTAACGAACGAAACTGCCCAAGCCTAGAAATAAGGCAATATATAAACAAAAAAGGTATATTAAAATGTCCATATACTCCCATATTTAAGGGGATTTTCAAAACCCATGTTAGTCTACTTACATTCTTGTGAACAGCTTAGGCTCTGTAATGAGAGGAGTTCTGTAATGAGCAGTTGTAATGGTAACAGGGTGACTCTTAAGTAAGACTGAGTGTTACAGGAAGCAAGTGTAATCTATTCTATCATTAAGCCCTTGGGGGATAAGTGTTTGTAGTTTGAAAATCCAAAATGACTCTCTCTGTAACAAGTACCTTTTAACATCAGCATTAGGTTTACCTTCTCCAAAGCACAAAATTTAAAGCTATGGCAAGTGTGTGCCTTTTCTTGGAAATGTGCATATAAAGAAGAGTCAGTGGACCCATTTCTTATGTGAGAGCAGTGTTCACTAATTCTGATTTTCAGGGGTCTGGTGGTCATCCCGACATATAATAATTGACACGGACATTGGAGTACGTAGACAATATTGTCCGTGGAGCATGTAGTGAAGTGTTGTAAGGTGATATGGATATTTAATGTGGGATGTGAGAATGTTTTGCCCTTCAATCTTTCTCAACAGGTGGTGAAGTTCAGACCACACCTGGACCTATAACTGTTCCATCTGAACTTACAACTCTTCTACCTGAACTTACAACTCTTCCATCTGAACTTACAACTCTTCCATCTGAACTTACAACTCTTCCATCTGAACTTACAACTCTTCCATCTGAACTTACAACTCTTCCATCTGAACTTACAACTCTTCCATCTGAACTCCAGACCAGTACAAGCAATCTAGTGACAGGTACGTCTTGTGGTGGATCATTTGTCAAAATGGTCAACCATCTGTATTAATCTGATGTTGCTGAATGACTACTATAGAGAAGACTAGCTTTACCCGCCACGTGTTGCTGTGACCAGCCTTCTCTCCCTCTTTCTCTGCTTCTTTCACTCCTTCCTTCATTCCGTTTTCTTCTTTCCTTTCTTCCTTCTCTACCTGTTTACTTCCTTCCTTAGGTGTTTGCTTTCATCCTTCCTTCTCCTTATTTCTTTCCTTCCCTGCGTCTTTCTCTCCTTCTTTCTCTTTTTCCTTTGCTGCGTCTTTCCTCCCTTCCCTTTTTTCTTTCCTTCTCTCCTCCTTCCTTCTGTACCTCTTTCCTTCCTCCTCCCTTTTTCTTTTCCTTCCTCTTTGTCTCCTTTCTTCCCTCTCTTTCTCTTTCCTTCCTTCCTTCGCTCTGTAGTTCCATACTTCCTTCCCTTTCTCTTCTTCATTTGCTTTCTTTCCTCCCTTCCCTTTTCTTCTGTTCTTTCTTCCTTCCTTTCCTTCGTTCCTACACCTTCCCTTCCGCTCCTTTCTTCTTCCTTCCTTCCTTTCTCCCTTCTTTCCCATGCTCCTACTCTCTCTTTCTTCTTTCTTTCCTACCTTTCTTCCCTCATATACTTTCCCAACTTCTCCTTCCTTTTTTCATACACCTTCCCTTCCCTCCTTTTGTTTATTTCCTACCTTTCTTCTCTGATATAACTGCCTTCCTTCCTTCCTTCCTTCCTACACCTTCCCTTCCCCTTCCCACTTTTCTTCTTTGTTTCCTTCTTTTCTTCTTTCCTTCCTTCCTTCCTATTTACACCCCTTCCCCTCATTTCCGTCCTTCCTTCCTTCACCCGCTTCCTTCCCTCCTTCTTGTTCCTCATCGTCCCCGATGGCGGCATCCTTCCTTCCCTGGAGCCAGACGCTGGTGTGCGGGGGCAGCCGGGGGAGGGGGAGGAGGGAAGAATGGCGTATGGGCGGGTAGGGGCGGGCGGCGAAGGGAGGGGAGGGGGCGTGGTTTGGCCATGTGTGCGCGCCGGGCGGCTCGCGCCGGGACGTCTCTGCGCATGCTCTGCTTGTTTCTGTGATCGTGAGTTTGTTGTAATGTTGTTTTGAATTGTGATGAGTGTTGTGCATACCTTTGGTGAGTTTTTGTCTGGGGGTTTTCGCCCTTTTGGATTTTATATATATATAGATGAGGAGGACCTCATCATCTCTATAGTAGACTATAGAGACTATAATGCCTGGACCTCACTCTGGAGGACCTAGAGATTCCTGGAGGGAACTTATTAATCAAATCTACCAAAGATAAGAGCCATTAGTACTTAGGCTTGGTTGGTTCAAAACTAGTTTTGGCTCTTGGGGGCGCTGGGGGTTTGAATCTGAATTTTTCCCCAAAAAAAGTTGGAACTTTCCAAAACTTCCGAATTGATTTGTTAATGACGGACAAGATTGCGAATTATGCGGAAAACAACACTGCATTGGGGAAGCTCCAGGGATTTCTCCCTCCCTCATGGCCATATAGCCCGAAAAAACCCACAAGAACTGAGTGATTCCAGTCATGAAAGCCTTCGACAATGCAAACATTATTATATTATATTATTATATTATATTATTATATTATTATTATATTATATTATTATATTATATTGTTGTATATTATAATATTATAATATTATTATATTATATTTGTATATTATATAATATTATTACTATATTATATATTATATTATATATTATATATTATATTATAATTAATATTATTATATTATATTATAATATTATAATATAATTATTATATAATATTATATTATATATAATTATAATAATAAATAATAATTATATAATATAATATTATAATATAATAATTAACATATAATATACAATATAATATATAATATTATTATAATATAATTATAAATTATAATTATATATTATATTATTATAATTATTATTATATTATTATATTATATTATAATTATATTATATTATATTTTATACTAGCTGTACCTGGCAACGCATTCCTGTGGCATAGAGTGAGGGTATGAAAAATAAAGTAATGAGAAATTTTGGGCAAGAAGGATGCCAGGAGAAAGAGGAGGGAGGGGGGAATGTGGGATTTGCCAGCTGGAAGGAAGGAAGGAAGGAAGGAAGGAAGGAAGGAAGGAAGGAAGGAAGGAAAGAAGGAAGGAAGGAACGAAAGAAGAAAGGAAGGAAGGAAGGAAAGAAGGAAGGAAGGAAAGAAGGAAGGAAGGAAGGAACGAAAGAAGGATGGAAGGAAGGAAGGAAGGAAGGAAGAAGGAAGGAAGGAAGGAAAGAAGGAAGGAAGGAAAGAAGGAAGGAAGGAAGGAAAGAAGGAAGGAAGGAAGGAAGGAAAGAAGGAAGGAACGAAAGAAGGAAGGAAGGAAGAGAAGGAAAGAAAGAAGGAAGGAAGGAAGGAAGGAGAAAGAAGGAAGGGGAAGAAGGAAGAAAGAAGGAAGGGAAGGAAGGAAGAAGGAAGGAAGAAGGACGGAGGGAAGGAAGGAAGGAAAGAAGGAAGGAAGGAAGAAAAGAAGGAAGGAGAAGGAAAGAAGGAAGGAAGGAAGGAAGGAAGGAAGGAAGAGAAGGAAGGAAGGAAGGAAAGAAGGAAGGAAGGAAGGAAGGAAGGAAGGAAGGAAGGAAGGAAAGAAGGAAGGAAGGAAGGAAGGAAGGAAGGAAGGAAGGAAAGAAGGAAGGAAGGAAGGAAGTGAAGGAAGGAAGGAAGGAAGGAAAGAAGAGGAAGGAAGGAAGGAAGGAAGGAAGGAAGGTAGCCCAGTGCAGCCCAGAGTGAGGCAAGAAGAAGCATGAGGAAAGAGGAGGGAAGCAGCAGAGCAAAGGGACCGGAAGTGGGGTAAATGCGAGATTGTAAAACTTGCACCAGACATACGAAAATAATTACGAAATAATTACGAAATAATTACGAAATAATTACGAAAATTGGAAAAATTGTTTCGATTCTTAATTACTCCTCACACTATTCCTGCATGGCTCAATATTGGATCGTAAGCTAATTTAAATACGAATTAATAACGAATAACGAAATTAACGAACTGCATCGCCCAAGCCTACTGTCTTCTTCTTTCGGCAGAAGCTCCTGTTGTTTGCAAGACGCGCTGGTTCAACCAGGACAATCCTGCCGGCAGTGGGGACAGTGAGCTCCTGGCTGATCTCCTGAAGGAACACCCTCAAGAGGTTTGCCTTGAACCAAGTGAGATCGAGGTCCAGACCGTGGACGGGATCCCAGCCGCACAGACTGGGCAGAAGTTTGTTGTGTGAGCATCCAGGGCTTTCTCATGTGCAACGGAGCACTTCGGCTTCTTGGTGGGACTTGATTTGGTTGTCAATGCCACTTTTCAGAGCCTTCTAATACATTTGGTTCCTTCCCTCTGAACAGAAATGATGCTTTTCTTGGCTTTTTCTGCCTCAACAATCACCAGGGAAAAACACAAAACTGCTTTGACTATCGGGTTCGGTATACCTGCCCACCATCCTTCTGCTCTGGTAAGTGTCCATTCCTGGACTTCTGATACATGCCATTATATTCATTTATTTCTCGTGTCAGGGCAACCATTACGCAAAGTAAGCATCCGTGGTAGAGTTGGTTTTGCCCAGGGATGCTCTTGAGGCGCTCTTGGGGGAATATAGACCTTGACTTCTGCTTAAAGCTGCATTAGAACCTTTAAGCACAGAAGCACACTTGAGTCAGATGTAATGAAAACTAAACAATGAAGTTTATTTACAAGAACAGGAACAATGCAGGTACTTTTTTTTATTTGTCGTGTCAGGGCAGCCAGTCAATTATATTACATTTCTTACAGAACAAAGCAAACAAACAAAGAAAATACAAAATGTGTGAGTTTGGTAGTTGGTTAAATGTCCTTTGAGCAGTATCTGGCCACTTGGAGTGCCTCTGGTGTTGCTGCAAGAAGGTCCTCCCTTGTGCATGTGGCAGGGCTCAGGGTGCATTGCAGTAGATGGTCAGTGGTTTGCTCTTCTCCGCACTCGCATGCCGTGGATTCCACTTTCTTGAGGTTGGCCCTGCATCTCGTGGTGCCAGAGCGCAGTCTGTTCAGCGCCTTCCAAGTCGCCCCGTCCTCTGTGTGCCCAGGGGGGAGTCTCTCATCTGGTATCACCCACGGGTTGAGGTGCTGGGTTTGAGCCTGCCACTTTTGGACTCTCGCTTGCTGAGGTGTTCCAGTGAGTGTCTTTGTAGATCAGTGTTTCTCAACCTGGGGGTCGGGACCCCTGAGGGGGTCATGAGGGGGTGTCAAAGGGGTCGCCAAAGACCATCAGAAAACATAGTATTTTCTGGTGGTCATTGGGATTCGATGTGGGAAGTTTGACCCAATTCTGTTGTTGGTCGAGTTCAGAATGCTCTTTGATTGTAGGTGAACAATAAATCCCAGCAACTACAACTCCCAAATGTCAAGACCTCCTTTCCCCAGACTCTACCAGTGTTCACATTTGGGCATAGTGAGTATTTCTGCCAAGTTTGGTCCAGATCCATCCTTGTTTGAGTCCACACTGCTCCTCTGGATGTAGGTGAACTACAACTCCCAAACTCAAGGTCAATGGCCACAAAACCCTTCCAGTGTTTTCTGTTCATCATGGGTGTTCTTTGTGCCAAGTTCGGTTTAAACCCATCGTTGGTGGAGTTCAGAATGCTTTTTGATTATAGGTGAACTATAAATCCCAACAACTACAACTCCCAAATTACAAAATCGATCCCCCCCCCCCAACCCCACTAGCATTCACATTTGTGCATATTGGGTATTTGTGCTCAATTTAGTCCAGTGAATGAAAATATATCCTGCATATCGGATATTTACATTACGATTTATAACCGTACTAAAATGACAGGTATCAAGTAGCAACGAAAACAATATTATGGTTGGGGGTCACCACAACATATGGAACGCCATTAAGGGGTCACGGCATTAGCAAGGTTGAGAACCACTGCTGTAGATCTTAGGAAACTATGTCTTGATTTAAGTCGTTGACGTGCTGGCTGATATCCAAACAGGGGATGAGCTGGAGATGTCTCTGCCTTGGCCCTTTCACTATTGCCTGCCACTTTTGGACTCTCACTTGCTGGGGTGTTCCAGTGAGTGTCTCTGTAGATCTAAGAAAACTATGTCTTGATTTAAGTCATTGACGTGCTGGCTGATACCCAAATAGGGGATGAGCTGGAGATGTCTCTGCCTTGGTCCTTTCCCTATTGGCTGCTACTTCCCGGCGGATGTCAGGTGGTGCAATACCGGCTAAGCAGTGTAATTTCTCCAGTGGTGTAGGGCGCAGGCACCCCGTGATAATGCGGCATGTCTCATTCAGAGCCACATCCACTGTTTTAGTGTGGTGAGATGTGTTCCACACTGGGTATGGCATACTCAGCAGCAAGGGCAGATGTCTTCACTGTGTCTGGTTGTGATCCCCAGGTTGTGCCAGTCAGCTTTCGTATGATATTGTTTCTAGCGCCCACTTTTTGCTTGATGTTCAGGCAATACTTCTTGTAGGTCAGAGCACGATCCAGAGTGACTCCCAGGTATTTGGGTGCGCTGCAATACTCCAGTGGGATTCCTTCCCAGGTCATCCTCAGAGCTTGGGATGCTTGTCTGTTCTTAAGGTGAAAGGTGCATGTCGGTGTTTTAGATGGATTAGGGATCAGCTGGTTTTCCCTGTCATAGGCAGTAAGAGCACCTTGTTGTTCATTCGTTCAGTCGTCTCCGACTCTTCGTGACCTCATGGACCAGCCCACGCCAGAGCTCCCTGTCGGCCGTCACCACCCCCAGCTCCTTCAAGGTCAGTCCAGTCACTTCAAGGATGCCATCCATAACAACATCCAATTTGCCCTGGCTCATGGATCTTACATTCCAGGTTCCTATGGTGTGTTGATCTTTAGAGCATCGGATTCGTCGTTCACCTCCAGCACCGTCGGC